GAATTATTCTCGTCTCAACAAGCAAGCAGAGAGGACAGAGGAACGCATGAGGGAGGCTGAAGATTTGCGGTGACTGGGGACAGGGGACAGAGTGGAATGAAGAGCCCCCAAGCTGAGGCCTGCTCCTGGGGAGGAGCAGCAAGCCGGGCAGCTGGCTGGGCCTTGCAAGGGCTGAAAGGAAGCCTGTAGTGGGAGCCAGGGTGGGGTCCCCCAGTCAGGCACCAGGTGGAAGTCTGAGATCTTGTGCAGCGAGCACCGGGAGCCCCAGGAGCAGCCGGGGAGGCCTGCCCGGCCTTGAGTTATCTGGCCAGCCAATTAACAAGTACTTTTTGAGCACCTACTATATACCAGGCCCTGAGTGTCCTCAGCGAAGCAGACGTGGTCCTGCCCACAAAGGGCCTCAGAGGAGAACACATAATAGGCAGAACCTGCTCCAACACTTTCTTAAAGGAGGCCTTGAAAACGCTGTACATCAGGCACCTCTGGCAGACACCAGGACTGCCCAGAGTAAAGATAAGAGTAAGGGTTTGGAATTAAATAGATCCTGCACTTTCATCACAAGATATGTGTCCGTGGGCAAGTCTCCCAGTCTCTCTGAGCCTCAGAAAGAATAACAATAGCAGCCTTTAGTAAACAATTACTATATATTCAGAATTGTTCTAGAACTCTACATATATAAACTCAATACAGCAACACTATGAGGTTAGGTTCTATTAGTGCCCCACCTGTCTTGGAGATGACCAAGACACAGAGAGGTTCAGTGCCTTGCCCAAGGTTACTCAGCTAGTAAGTGGTGCGGCCAGCAGGGCAGCCTGGCTTCAGAGCCTGTATCCTTAACCCTGCCCCATGGTCAAAAATCCGTCCCCAACAGAGGCCTTCAGCACTGTTGCAGGCATCCCACGACAATCTAGAATCACTGCCACCCCAACCTGTCTCAGCCCACTGAAGTGTTACTCACTCTCTGAACAATCTGTGCGGTGAAAGCTGAGGACGCCCCTCAGGATGTGGGGATAAGGCTCAGAAAGATAAAACGGCTTATTCCAAAGTCACTCAGCTGGCTGGGCAGAACCTGCCATATACAACATGTGTCGAGCAGGGATAGATGTGTGTGTATTGTGTGAATGGAGGCTAGTGGGGGCCGCCTGATGGCTCCTCAGCCACTGGAGAAGTACGCAGAGCACATGGGCCTGAAGATCAGTCAGTTGGTCAACAAGCAGTGCCCGGGCACCCTCTGAAAGGAGCATGGGGGTAAGTGAGGGAACACCTCCACTTTGTTTCATGGTCTCCCATCCCTCTTTCAGCCTCAAGGCTGAAAGCACCTACCTGCTCAGCTCTCCACCTGTCCAATTCCTGCCAAGCTATTCTTTTCCAGGTCCAGTACTACCACCTCTTCCAAGAAGCCAGCCCTGATTGCACCTCTTAGAGCACCCTAAACCCCACACAGTCTGTGTGGGGACTAAAGCAGACCTGGAGGGCAGAATTGCCCCCATGCCATATGGATAAAGGGCGGTCAGGTACAGGAGTATGGCTGGTAGGGAGGGGACCCCTGCCTGGAAGATAACAAGGCACCCTAACCTGCAGTAGCCACAGGCAGGAACTGGCTGTGCGTGCTGGCAGCAAAGCTGGCATGATGGATGACACCATTCAGGAAGAAATAAATCCTGGGGCTCTTGCGCCAGGTGAGCTGGGGGTATATCCATCTTGAACGTGCTGGCCACAGCAGAGGGCAGCACATACATCTGCCTCCCGCCCCCTCCAGCTCCTTGGGCTCTAGGAACACCCCCTCCCCCAGGTTCAGCCCCTCCCCAGGCGTTCCAAGAATCAGGGCTGGGGGTGTGCTGAAGGGGTCCGGAGAGAAGCTGGCCAAGACCAAAACTCCCATGGCACAGGTGGGAAGGCTGAGGCCAGAGAGAGCAGGGCCGCACCCAAGGTCATACAGGGGGCCAGCTTCAGAACCTGGACCGGCCCTCACCAGGCCTCTGCCCCAGTCCGCGCTCTCTCCGGGGGCCTCTCCACACCCTCTCTGCCTTCAGGCTCTGTGAGCCCTCAGAGAGGGGTCCCCAGCCATGCCCACCCCAGGCCCGGGACTGCTCCTGCAGAGCACCAGTCCCAGACCCCCCTGTCACCCTGTCCCCGCCCCCCCGCTACCGCTGACAACATGGCTGTGCCCCCTGGTAGAAGTGAGAGGACGAGGGCACACAACGAGTCAGGACAGGTGCACAGGCAAGCCTTGGGGTCTGCATTAATGACCAGATAAGACCCATCCCTGGAGACTCGTCCCAAGGACGGGACTCCCACATTTTGTTCCCCAGTTTAATCACTCCCCCTGTGCATCTGTTAATTATCCCGTGCTTGGCGAAGCCTAGCTTCCTAGAAGAGCAGAGGTCAGGCTGGCCCGCCTGCGTCAGAATGCCCGCCAATTCCCAGGCCACTCTCCCACGGAGCCCATGAGCCGGTGTGCTCAGAACAAATCCCTCAATCAAATTAACGAGATGCCGGCCTGCCTGTGAGCAGAGCCCCGGAGCTGTGGGGGAGGGGCGGGAGGAGGGCCAGGGAAGGGGTTGCGCACGGTGATGCGGGAGCCAGGCAGCCCCGCGGCTGCATCTCCCCGCAGCTGCCACCACACCTGAAATGTCACCATTAAAGGGACACATCATTCCATTGGGGTTCAGAGGCATTGGAGTCTCCCATTAAAGTGAAAATATGCCGAAGAGAAATGCACCCTCAGACAGTTCCCACCTCCACACATCAGCAGAGGGAGTGGGAGAGAAGGGGCAGGCCTGAGCACCTATGTGCCAGGCACTGGTGGTGACACGAAGGCTCAGGGCCCAAGTGGTGGGTGGAGGTCACTCAGCGCACGGGTAGCAGAGCTGGAACCTGAACGCAGGCGGAGCCAGGCCCGAGGCGAGCTCTCTCCTTCCACACCACCGAGACGGGGGCTGCGGCTGTTGCCCTGAGCCTCGCTCTGTCAAGATGAGCCGCTGCCCAGCACCATCGGCTCTGCAAGACCACAGGGCGCAGCTTCGCTGGGGCCCAGGAGATGTGGAAACCCGGTTTCAACACCGTCCTGAGACAGGCACTCTGCTCTCCTAATGAATCACTATTTCTCACACTCAGGACACGCCACCCCCCAGCCACATCACTGAGCCACCAGATTTGACCACTGAGGAAAGAGAACCGTCTTTGGAATCAGATGACCCAAATTCTAATCATGTCCCTTAACCTCTCTGAGCCTCTGGGTGCAGCCACCCCCTTGGCCTCCTGCACAGCCTAGGCCTCTAGGAGGGCTTGGGCCCGGAGGGCAGAAAAGGGGGAGCACAGGAGGAAGCGATGCGCACAGAAAGGCCAGCTCCCTGCCCCGGCCTACCCCCAGCACCCCCAGCCCCAGCCTCATTTCCTCTGGCGCTCTTGGAGGGAGGCGTGGGCTGAGCATGACCTGCTGACCCGCTCTGGGGCTCCCCTGAGGCCCCCTCCTTAGGCCCACGCAGTCCCCTGGGTGGAGCCCCAGTGCACTGCCCTCTGCAAGTCCGTCTGTGGGCCCTACGCCCCCCGAAGCTCTTCCTCTGCGCCCTCACTCAGCCCCCCACACCCTGGCCTCATGGCCCAGAAGGCAGAACAGAGGCTCAGCAGGGGCTGCAGGTGCCCAGGATCCCCGCAGGACAACACAGCCTGGAACTGAAGTCTCTGACCTCTGACCTTGTTCCTCCAGGGCTGCCATTCACAAGGCACCTACGCCAGTCTCGTCTGGGGTCCCTCCTTAGAAGTACCTCTTCTTCGCCCCCTCCCACAGCTGCTGCACAGGCCTCCTCATTGCTGCCCAGTGGGGCTGCTCCAGTGCCTCTGGGCTCCTGCCACAGGCCACCCTCCACCCACCGCACACCACCAGGCCCCCAGCCATCACCAAGGGGTCATCTGAGAAAAAGGACAGAGGCCCAGTCACTTACTAGCCATCAAGATGGTCAAAGTTTCTCTCTGCCAAGGGACTGTCTGGGAGCATCTGGAGAGGCTGAAACCCAAAGAAGTGGCCCGTCTGGGGGTTGGTTCGGGAAGTCAGAAGGGTAGAGGGACAAGCTATTAGTAAGCACAGGCTGTGGGGCAGGCCTGCCCTAATTTAATCGCCCGACAGCCTGGGGAGGGTCACATGATGCACACTTTACAGACGGGAGGTGAAGCCCTCTAAGGCGAAGGCACATGGCTTGATGGGATTTGAACCCGGGTCTGCCTAAGTCTGATCCTGACTCTGAAACTCTCTCCATTGCTCCCCCAACCCCCACCCAGGTGCCAAGTACACACAAGTGGGTGAACTAACTGCCCCGGAGGCAGAGCTGGGGCCATCGCCCAGCTTCCACGCAGGGCAGCCTTGCCACTGACCCTTTTTCCTCCTCGCTCTCGGGCTCAACAACCAGCCCTCGGGCCCCAGGGTGGGGGGCGCCTGCCGCCTTCCTGTAGGGCTGCCTCCCTCTCCAGTCTCTCTCCACTCTCACTAGCAAATGAGTAAGAAGAATAAAATTACAGTTTGGCTACACAAGACATGGAATTAGCAGTATTAAATATAAATAGCTATTAAAAGTGCCTTATAATTAAACTCATTTTCCAGTTATTTGTTTTACACACACACACCCGCCCACACATGTGCACACACGCACGCGCTCCCATCAGCTCCGCACGGAGTGGGTGTCAGGGCCCCAGCTGCTAAGCAGCCCCCTCCCCGCTGTCGCCTCTTCGGAGTTCCAGGGTCGGCCTCTCTCCCCGCTCCGGCCCTGCCTGCAGCCCATCCACCCAGCCCTCCTCCAGAAGAATGGGAACTGCCGCTGACTGCCACTCCGTGAGCTGACCCTACTGCGACCAGACCCTTGATACCCCTCACCTCCTTTATTCCTCCCAAAGATTTTTTTTCATTCAATAAATATTTGTTGAGCTCCAAGCACTTAACATGCACAGTCTCATTCCACACACTGACCCTCTTTTCCCCGTGAAACAAGTATTAGTGGAGTACCTACTATATGCCAGGGCCTGGCAAGTGTTCACAATACTCCGGCCAACTCCGCCCTTGTGGAATCCAGCCCAAAGAAAGCCCAGAGCCAGAGACGGGCCAGGCAACGGGGAAGATGCAGATGCCACCTGAGTTGGGGTGAAGAAGAGGTTAGGAGGGCCAGGGAAGCCTGGAGGGGCTGTGTTTAGAGAGAGTCTCCCCACTGTGAGCTCCCTGAGGGCCCAACCACATCCCATCACCTCTGTGTCCAGGGCAAAAGGAAGGGTACAGAGTAGACACATCATGCATGATCGTCAGCCTAAACTGCCCTACGCTGGGTCCAAAGTGAGCCCCATCTCGGCTCCGAGCCCACTCTCATGCTATGCCTTCAAGAGGCCCCTTTTCCTCCCAGGCTTCAATTTCTTTCTCTGTAAAATGAGAGTAAACTTAAGCCTCTCTACCTAAAGAAAAGGAGTGATTGCATGTAGAGAGGTCTGAGCCGGGCCTGGCACATAGTAGGTGCTCAGTGAGGGTTAGGCTTCCTTCATGATTCCCGTCATCACTACAACTACTGCTGCCACTATTACCCACTCCACCTGTGGAGTCAAAGAACCACAGATATGAAAGAACTCAGAAAAAGCCTCGTAGAAATGGGAAGGGGTGTGGGAAGGGGCACAGCGCAAGCCTAGGGTGCGAAGGCTCACACGGGGAAGGAATACCTCCAGCTGGTCCCCAGAGGGCTTCCTAGAGGAAGAGCCGAGGCTTCGGGCCTCTCCATGCCAGCTGCCTCTCCTCTGCTCAGGTGGCCTGATCTTCAGCCCCTTCACATCAGGCCATGTAGGAAGACACCAGCCACACAGCCTGGACTCTAAGGAGGGAGCATGTAAAAAGCTTTAGCCTTCGAGTCCAGCCATTCAACTGGCCCCACCGCCTCCTGAGCCCTGGGAGAGGTGTGAGAATAAGTCCCCATCCTTCCAAGTGCCCAGATGGCTGGGAGGCAGGACACACGGCCAAAGATGAACAAGGTCTTAGGCGGCACCAAGGTAAGGGCACGACTCCAAGGGGCGAACCATGAGGCCACTGACTTTTCTAAGTCCCTCTATGCCTGAAGCACTCTGCCCCATTATCTCACTCGAGCAGAATAGCTGCCCTCCCCCATCATAGATATGACCATGGCCCCATTCTTCAACGGAGGTGAAACCCAGAGAGGTCAAATGTGACTTGCCCCAGGTCATGGGACCTATAAGTGGCAGAGCTGAGGACAGAGCCCAGATCTATGTGATCTAAGGCCTTTCCCTAACGGACGCTGCCCCTGAACCAGGAGGGCCTTGCTGGGGGACACAGGGCCGTGGAGACAGCACCCCTGGGAAGCTTTGCATGCATGCCTTGCCCTCTCTGGCCTCTCTTGTCTTCCTGTTGCCACCCTCAAGGTGGACTGCCCACCCCACTGGGTCCCTGCAGAGCCCCCACCCACACTCAGCCAGCCCTAGGAGCACAGCAGGAAAGATTTTTCGCCCTCAAAGTAGGCAGCTGAGCTAATTAGCAGAGACTCCATTCTTCCCTCATTGAGGACATTATTTTATTATCCAAATTCAAACACAGCCCCCTGGCGTCCAGCAAACATACTCAGGCAGCTGGTTAAAGCAGCGCAAATCGACAGGCAGCAAGGGACCTGCTCTGGCCCAGCCTCCCCACAGGGCTCTAGGGCTCCATCCCATCTTCCTCACAAATGCCGGGGGAATAAACGGAGCCTGTGTTGGATGGAGAAGACTACAGGCTGAGCAATAAGGCACAAAGGCCCCAAAGACGACCCACACCTATTGCCACATTCAGACAAAATCGGCCAACCCCAGGGAGAAAAGGGGGGGGTGGGAGACATGGAGGGTGGAATTCTGGTGGCAGGCCAGGCGGCAGCCCTGGAGGGCTGCATGAAAATCCCACTGTGTCCATGCTGATGGACAGCCTTCCCTCATGCCCAGAGGACAGATACCAGCCCCTCAGCATGGGCACTGCCTACCTTCCCAGACTTGTCACTGCTAGCTGCCCCGAGCCCACTGGGTGGGCTCTTGCCATCCTCCCCACAACGCGCAGGCAGCCGCACACCAGCCTCCTCTTCAGTGGCCATGCTGTTTCCCCTCCTTTCTGCCTCTCTAGGCTTGGTGCCCCCTCTTCTGAGGGCACTTCCTGACTGTCCCATCTTGCAGGGACAGGCGGTGCCTCATGTCTCTAGAGTGTATCACATGCCCCACACGATCAAGCATGTGGGTCTATAGTGCCTGCCCTGCCCAGCTTTGGTGGTTGGGGTTGGGGTTGTTAATTTGTGCATCCTGTTGTGGAGAGAAAAGAGATCTGACTGCTTCCCTCGCTCTTCCATCAGAGTGTGGTAGAGAGACAGGCACACAGCAGGTGCTTGGTGGTTGCTGAGTGACCACCAGGAAGTCCTTCTAAAGCTTCTGTGTGCTGCAGTGCAGGGCACTCTGGGAGCTGTCGTCAGCTGTAAAGCTAAAGCTTCTCTGTGCTCTTGGATAAGTCACTGGCATCCTCCTGGCCTTAGTGTCCCTGTTGGTCAAAGCAGGACTTGAGTCAGAATGACCTCTGGGGCTCTGTTCAGCAGGCCCCGGGCTGAGCCAGGCACTGTTCATGGTGCTGAATGTAGGAGCGGCCCTCTCTGAGGTTGGCGGACACAAAACAAACAAGCCCAGGAGACAGAGGTCTGGAGGCTGCGGGGAAGAAGGGAAGGTACAGCTGAGGGAGACAACTTATTTGAATTTGGTTCTGGGCACTGCCAGGGGCTATCATCATGGTCAGGGGCCGCATGCTCAGGCTGGTGGAGGGGGTTCAGCCTCAGCCACTGGGGAAAGAGTTTAGCCATACTGGGAACGCAGTCTGATAGAGGAGGGGGCTGGAAGCACACGCTTATCATGTGTGCTAGCACAAACACACACATCACAATGTTGATACAGACTAGGTGTCCAAGCCTACATGCATCAAGTTTCCCGGCCCGGACTGTCCTCCCAGGCATCACCGTACTCGATTCACCCGCACCTGAGGAGGCCCTGGGACCCTCTTTGGGGACCCACTTACAAGAGGAGAGAAGTAAGAGTTGGTTCCGGGATCCTTCTCACTTCCAGAGCGTGTGAGAAGCTACTGCCCGATTCCATCCTTCCCCAAACTGTGCCAGATGCCTGTCTTCAGAGAGACGAGACAAAGACGGCACTTGCTGTGGAAGAGCCAGGAGAGACAGGGGAAGGGAAAGGGGGAGGGAAGGGAGGAGGAGAGGATGCGAGGGAGGGAAGGGTGAAGAGAGGAGAAGGGAGGGGAGATAGATTCCGCTGCTCCTGAGGAGCAGATCTTGGCAGGGCCCTGTGCTGGCCCAGCCACCGTTCACTTCTGCGTAATAAAGGCAGAACAGAAACTCCGTAATTATGGGTAATAACAATCACTGATTTGCATGTATTGAGCACCTTTCAGCCTGAGATCTCCAAGTGCTTTGCCAACATTAATTAATTTGTTAGGCACACCCACCTCTCCGGGACAGGGTGGCACAGCACTCCACCCGGAGCACGTCTGGCTCCAGGGCAGGCTTGTGGCAGTCCCAGCGGGTGCACGTGTTGGGGGTCCGGGGGTTAGGGGCTCTGAGGAGGAGGAGCCTGCCCCCCCAGAGGTCAGGGCCACTCTCTCTGTGCCCCGAAGGGCAGCCTCCCTCCCAGCCTGTTAGAGGGCCACGCTGAGGATGGTCAGAGGCACAGAGACCGACCAGCCCCAGCCTTGCTCTCAGTCACTGCGGAGCTTGGAAAACTCACAAGCAAACCATTTCTGCACCTATAAAAAGAGGCCTGGGGTCTCCAGCTCCAAGGTGGTTGTGAAGCTTGATTAGGCAGTGTGGATAGGAAGCATTTAGACCTGCCCACGGCAGTGCACGAGAAGGGTCTCGCTTCCTCTGTGAGCCAGGCCTGTGGAAAGTGGACCAGAAGGCCCCAGATGGATGCACACTCTGTATGTGGGCCAGGACCCTCCTAGGACTATACTTGGGCACCCAGTTCCCTTCAGAGGCATGGAAATGCCCCTCCCTCCAAAGAGCTCTCAATCCTGCCCCAGTGCCCAGCCCAGACCTGGTTCCCCAGTGGCCTCAGTGCCAGAGGCCCGAGGGATCTGCTGAGGAGAAGGAGGTTCCTCTGCAGGCCAGGCTCAGAATCGGGGCCAGGAGGGGACACTGGGGTCAGCAGGCTCCAGCCCCGAAGCAAGGCGCTCCCCACACCCCCAGAGGGGAGCCAGACCCAGGTCTCCACCTCCCGCCCCTCTACGTCCTGATCTGGAAAGTGAGACAGTTCAGGCGAGGATAATGTGAATCTTGATATGGAATGATGACACCCTTGGCCAACTGTGCTGCCTGCACTGCAGGTTCTTAGCAAACGGACCTGTGATCATTAGTTATGCTACAGTCACACTTTCAATTTAACACCTTTCCTAAAGTCATACAGAAAACCCCATAACTGGACCCCCGTTTCAAGTCACTAATATTTACTGAGCATCTACTATGTGCCAAGCATTCTGCTGCTCACCTCCATAATTCCTCTCTTTTGTAAGTACCCTCTCCCCAGCTAGCTGGCCTCCTCCCTATCTCCTCCACACTCCTGCTTCCTTCCTGATGCCAAGCACTCGCCCTTGCTGTTTCTTCCACCTATACTGCCCTCTTTACTCCCTTCCAAAAAGCTAAATTCCCTTTCAATTGGCTAAGGCCTGCTCCAGCCCGGTATCCTCCAGGAAGCCTTCTCTGATTGCCCCAGTGTGAATTAACACTTAGTTGCTCCCAAAGTCATCTTGCTGTCTCCTGGGTAGAAGCTCCTCCGGGACCAGGTATCTCCTTCATCCATGTCCACAGTATGGTCAAGCAGAGGCAGGTAGGAGGGTTCTGGGCCAGCCCAGGTCAAAACTGGGGAGGCAGAGCCTCAACTGCAAGAAGTGTGCACGTCCATGTGCACACAGAAGGGCCAGGGCAGGCCCCAGGCTAGACCCTGCCCAGCCGGGCCCGCTTCCTTCCTGAAGGGTCAGGGTCTCTGCGTGGAGATCTCCTTGTGTGGTGATCGCCAGGTAACAATGCTTTACAGCTACCCGCACTCTCATCAGGGTCCACAGGAATACAGGGCCCAAGGAGCTGTGACACTGTGACACCTTCACTCACAAACACGGGCACACACTCAGCACTAAAGTACAACACAGTCATGTAACACATGCATGCATCCTCACACAAATATCCCCATGAAATACACATGACACACTCATGGACACACTGACAACCACACACCCACAATCATAGACACATATACCGTCAGTGGAGAGCCCAGCTGGGGTGGTGGCCCAGGGCCTGCACCTCTGGGTGGTGAGCAGTGAACACATGACCGTTTGCTTCCATCTGAGCATCTAACTGTCCAGCTTTCACCTCCTTCTTCTGCCCATTTTCATCACAGTCTTAAGAGCACTTATGTCAACATGCTAACTTGAAAGGTCTTCTATTCCCCCAACAACAGGGTCCTTCCTCACGGGTGTGAAGATAAGGCAAAGATAAGCAGCAAGGAACAAGGGGTTGCCCTAGAGACAAATAGAATGAAGAAAAGAACGGCAGCCATAGGCCTCCCATAAGCAAGGTCTGGCTGGAATCGCCTAGAATCTGGGGCTCGGACCCCCACCCTGACACAAGGGCACAGGGCCCCTGGCAAGGAGCCCACCCTCCAGCTTGTTAGCCAAAACCTGCTCCTTGGCCCTGTCAGGCCATAATAATAATGTGAAGAACATTCATTTATTCACTGACTTCCCATTCAGAAAGAGATATGTGATGTTGTAGGAATGAACTGATTCTGACACCCAGCT